TCCCCACCAGGCCCACCACTTTGGCAAATATGCAAATGATATTTGTGGTGTTGACTTTCACAACACTTGAGCAAAGATATCTGAAGACGTCAAAGACCGCAGAACTATTGTCACTACATAGAAGGGCAGGGAGATGGTGCATCTGGAATTGTTACTGTACAAAAATGGGTTGAGCTAGATCTGGTGCATAAATATTTGGACGAATTTCAACGAGTTCCCAGTAAACGGCAGAGATGCCATTCCCAGATAAGAATTCAATCCACTGATAAGAAGCAGAAGCATATATCGCTTAACAAGTCTCGGAAGCATGTACCATCGAGCAGTCCATTAGTTCTATAATCGTAAACGGTCCCACTTTCTAGGTACTCCAATCCATTCATACGAGGCTGCGAGCAGGGACTGCTCGCTCTCGCCTAAATGTGAAGTTTGTGAAGCTTCCCGTCACACCTGTACAGATGAGATCAGGTTGACTGTGCATATGTACTATGAAACTGAACGAGCGGCTAGTCGATTGAAGATCGAAGAAACTCGTCCGATCGCTCATGAATAATCCCGATTCTTGTCCAAATGGGCTCAAAGGATATCGTTCTCCGAGCCAGAGAAGTAATGAAGAGGTATCGAGAAGGAAACTGTGAGATTATTGTGTATCTTCGGCTCTCTTTTATATCAGACAAAATTAGCGCAGGAATCCAACAGTGTATTGCACGAGCGGATTTGCCTAATGTTGTTGTTTTGATAAACTTACTAGGCGACAATATCAAATGTCAACTAACCCGCAATAGGCTTCACGACCGTGCATGCTCTACGGGTAACTCGTCCGTTCGAAAGAGAAGTAGATTGCTAGCGAGGGACTGTTTAACAACTTCAGTGTTCAGCCTGTGATGAAATATATATTGGTAAGATGGGAAGGATGCCCGTAGTACGCGGCAAAGAACATCTAGCAGGAGAAAGGCGTGGAAGCCTACTGCTTAGAGGAACCGACTAGAAGGACATCACGGCCATACTAATTCCGACATCGAATGTAAAACTGTAGCCTAGGAGAATGAGGTTGGTACCAGGAAGGTGCTGGAAGCGTTACATATCCGGCAAAAATCCAAGGCTGAACAACGAAATGGGTGCTTGGCCATAGTAAGTGAACTTTTGCCATTTATTCACTTTGTTTGCGGGCGTTGAGAGGTGTCTCATAGGTCCCTTCTTCTTCTCGTTCTTCAGATAATCAAATGGGACATAGCTCTGGTGGGATCGCAGAAGTTTGGTCACTTCGCTGAAAGCTTTTAAAGTTTGAGTTTTCGAGAGTCGTTTCAACTAGCCTAGCGCGTTCGGGCGCCCCCGTCACAGGTTAGGAACTGCGAACTATTTCCAGGTACCTGAAGTTGTCGACTCGCTTGAAACATCCACCAATTAAAACGTTCAGCCATAACAATCCTCACAGCAGAGCAATATAGAACATTATGTAAAATGCCCAGGTTTTAAGAGGACCGAACGTGGAAGTTGTTGCGAATTACAGTATTCAGTCAGAACTTCAAAATACAATACAATTCCTCATAGTTTAAGTAACGAAAGAACAATTCCATCTCTGAAAAGGTCAAGTCTAGCGCTCTGGGTGGTTTGTGTGCCATTTTGGCTGGTGACATGACCACAACCAACTGACATATCTGGAGAAGATGTAAATATCCAACGGTAAGTCTGTGTGTCAAACCTTCGAAGAAAAGTGATCAGCCTTCCGTAGGAGAGATTTCCAAATGTGAGAGAAATGTGAGCTGCGGAGGGACGTCTAGAGTAGTCTCGAGATGGTTAGCCGCACGTTTTTGCTAGAGTTGCCTTATTCGTGATTTTCTAAAGAGCCCTCATCGTAAAAACTCCTGATCGGAGTGATTGTTGCCGAATAGTCGCCGAACAAGTTTGGAAGGCAGGAGAGCGGCTGACTACTATATACTTACTGCCCACTATTACTGCCTATTATCGATGTGCTCGGAACATCGCAGTAAGCTAGAGAAACCCCTTCTTCATCTTGAGTCCCTTTTGCAGGAGGAAATAGATAGATGAAAGAGATCAATGAACGTGAACATGCGAAAATGATGTTGCTGAGACTCTCAGAATCCAACGATTGTTTTAACTCGTGAGCCAGCGATGCTGACTAAATATCATTGAACATATCCGTGCTTTTTTCTTTGAACAGTGGGCTTCAACGAAATGAATTGGCTGAACGAACGGCTAAGGTACATACATATAAGCATACAACAGAGGCGGACGCTTCAGCATCCATCGTTCGAGCTCTGGTCTTGGCTGTAGCCGATAGTTATCACTTGTAATGAGTTGCAACCCACATGGTCTCGAGCTTGTCCTGAGGTCTACTGATAGCGACAGACTTTGATAAACCATCCATTTCAGATGTATCCCATCATCTTCTTAACCGCTCTGTTTTTACGGCCTTCGCTTGCTCTTTCAAGATCCTTCAGGCACGTAAGTTATTATTTTGGTCCATATAATAACTGAAATGATTATTCGACGTATAACGCTGCTCTCTCGAAGCCTGATCGAAGAAGAACCCCCTTAGGATAGCAGCTCTTTCCTAAAGTTTTCTTCAGACTCCTTTGTTCCATTTGTAGTGAACCATGATTTTTCAACCCCTCCTTCCCCTGCACCCACTAGACCTAGCTGTCAAGGACCATCGAAGCCACTGTTCCTCAATGATGCCTTATGTCCGCTTCCCAGTGCCTAAGGCGTTTCGCCTCTTACAGCAGCAGAAGGCTCTACTTAGCGGGTTCAGGCTGAAATCAATTCGAAGTGACCGCTCAAAGTATCGAATCAGGACCCAATGCTCTCACCCGAGGGGGCTCGAGGGGGCCGTAACGTTTTTGTAACATAAAATCAGATCACTGTTCGAAAAAGATTTATTTTAGACTATTAATTACTGCAATTCTAGCTGTTGACGATAAAATGTATAATAAAAATGTATAATAATCAGCAAGGAAATGTTAGAAATAACTGAGTAATTTTTTTTAGATTGGTGAAGGAGCAAGCTACGAAGAGAGTGTCGAAACGACTTCACAACCTAAAGACGAAATTATCACATGGCCATCCGAAACCACGCTGCCAAATGAAGAGTTTTCTCCTTTCAAAAATGGAGCTACAGCGACGCCATTTGAAACAAGGCTGCAAACCGAACAGACCTCGCAATCTGACAGCGAAACTACCACGACGCTCCCTGAAACACCGCCACAAAGCGGAAGATCTAAGAGTCCAAGAAAGGCAAGGTGTTTCCCTGCTGCATGTGCCGCATGTATGCCGGTATGTACATACGTACCCTGGGTACCTGTAGCACCTGCACCAGTGGCACCCGTACCTGTTGCACCTGTACCTGTAGCGCCTGTACCAGTAGCACCTTGGAATCCATTGTGGCCTGGGCTTCCTGTACCACCTGTACCTGTGCAGCCTAAGCCAATCCCAAATCCGCTGGCTCCGAAAGACGACGATAATAAGCCACCTCAACCTCAGCCTGCTCAGCCTGCTAAACCAGGGTTTGGGATTGGTGGGTTTTTACCACTAGGACCTTGGGGGCCTGCTATTTGGTTCAACTTTAATAAGAACTGAACCACTGCAGCGATGTCTTTGCTAGTGTATATTATTTTATTAACATCACTAAGATATTCCTCAATCGGATGATTTTATGAAGTAAATGATCGAACGCGTGTTCTGAAATCACGTTTTACATAGCAATTGCACATTATAATCCAAGTAAGCGTGTGCATCCTGAATGGAGCTACTTACAAGTGTTCTTCTCGCTAAAAATAAGCAATTATCAAACCGAGAACATCAAAGCCTCTAGAAGGCAAATGTGCAAGCCTTTTGGCGCCAATCACGTGTCAGTTCATCATCATTTGCCGTCCCTGTTGGCTGCGCTGCATTTCATAGTTCTCTCCACACGAGTGCGCCAAGCAAGGAGCATCTTCGCCCAACGCTTACTGCTCATCATGATATACTCGATAAACGCCAGGATCCCCCTCTTTGGCTAATACTCCTGATGGTAATTTCACTAGAGTTCGCACATGATGCGATAGTAGATACTTAGTATTTGCCATAGCTTAGTCTCTTTCCTCCTCAATTCTTAATACCTAGTAATCATTCAGGCATTTCTCTTTCTGTCCATATCCTATATTCCTATCTGTCAGTAACTGTATGCCACCTTTGAACATTACTGTTTGATCTTTTATGTTTACTAATATCTACGTGTTTTACTATGTGAAGTATACTTAGAACTAGGGGTATGCTTCCTTGTATCAGTCCATCGCTTCCCTCGCACACTTCGATTCTCCGTACGTCTCGTGTTCTCCGGAATTCGTCGTTGTTGCTCCGGCTCGGACGTCCGCCTA